GCAGCTCCGGGATGCGGGATGCGGGATGTGGGATGCAGAGGCTCCTGAGCCGGGGTGGGTTTCCTTCCTTGGGAAGAGCCCTGGCAGCCCCGGGATGCGGGATGCAGTACTTGGAGGCTGACAGCAAATTGCACCCAGGGCTGTGGAGACCTGCTGAGCCAGCCTGATGGTCTTCATTATAGAGCGAGGGGCTGAGCTCAGGCCCAGGATCAGTGGCCAGAAGGGAAACCTGATTGTTAAACTGAAAATTAAAACCTCCGTGGGGGAAGAAGCAGTTTTTAAGGTCTGTTTTTAGGAAAGGGAAGCGGATGCTGTTAGCAGCCAGTCCTCTGACCGAAGGCAAACACAAGCCAGGAGAAGCCACAAGGCAGAGCTTTGTAGCACCGTGACCCACCTGGCAAAGCCCAGAGCTGCCGGGAGCCTTTGCTGTCCTTTCTGAGCCAGGTGTCTCCTTCTTCAGCCCTTCTGCAACCAACCTCCTTCTCCAATCATGGAGAAAACCGTGGGGCCAAAGAGGGGCTTGATGGGATGAACCTTTTCATAGAATCATAGAATCATAGAATCATAGAATCATAGAATCGTCTAGGTTGGAAAAGACCTTTAAGATCATCCAGTCCAACCATTAACCTACACTACCAAGCCCACCTAAACCAATCAAGGGCAGACTAGACTAAACCATATCCCGAAGTGCCACATCTACCCGTTTTTTTGGGGTTTGAGGTAGGGCTTCCACCTCCAAGCACGAAGGAGCAGGGGGATGTCCAAGCACTCCTTGGGAGGAGACGGGGTTGCACCTCTCAGGGAGGTCCCCACCTCCATGGGGTGGTTTCTGATGCCCCCTCCTCTCCATCCCTTGCAGTCTCCAGACCACAGACTTCCCCCGAGGATCTGAAGGTGCTGATGGGGAACGTCAACCGCCTCAACGAGAGCTTTCGGGACGTGCAGCTGAAGCTGCTGCACCTACCTCTGAAGGGGGACGTGCTGGATCACATCTGGAGGCTCCAGGACCTCCTGCAGAACCACTCGGACTCCTTGTTCCTCATGACGGGGTCACTGCAGAAGCTGGAAGGGCTTCTCTGGAGCCTGAAGACCCAGGCCAGCCAAACTGACAAGGCAGTGTCCAACCTCTGGGACAGCTTGACCCAGCAGAGCGACGCGGCTCAGCAGGAGATGTACAAGCTCTCCGTGGAAGGCAACAGCAGCCGGCTGCTGCTGCAGCACCACGACCACCTCCTGAGCCACCTGGGCAGCAGGGTGGAGAGCCTGAGCGACCAGGTGATGGCCGTGAACGGAGCCATGGACTCCATGAACAGGACCTTCTCCTACGACGTGAACATCCACCATACCCGCATCCAGGACCTGCAGGTGCTGATCAGCAATGCCACTGAAGATGCTCGGCAGATGCGCCTCATCCACATAGCCATGGAGGAGCAGCTGAAGCACGAGCTGGCCATCCTCAACAACGTGACGGAGGACCTGCGGCTGAAGGACTGGGAGCACTCAGTCGCGCTGAAGAACATCTCCGTGATACGGGGTAAGCCGAGTACCTCTTGTAAGCAGCTCCCTTGCTGGTGCATGAACCTGTCGTGAGGAGGGAGGTGTCCTGGGGGCTTTGGGTGGTGGTGGAAATGGTCCCTGTGGCATGGGGATGTCCTGTGGGGATGTCTCAGGTACTCTTTGGTGTATCAAAGCCACCAGGCACCACTGTTTAGGTGTCTGCGGTGTTCAGGTGTGTCCATCACCTTGGACTCTCGGACTCTCCAAATGCTCCTCCATCCATGTTCGGAAGAAAGCTCCCAAGGTTCCCTCAAAGATGCCAGGAAAAAACTCTGCCAGGTCCCTCCTGACCATGAAAGTGAACCAGACCAAGCGCGGCAGAGTCGGTGGGGTTTTTGCCCTGCTCCGTACTGCAGTGATCAAGCAGAAGGCTGCCCAGCAGTACCCTCTGTCATCATCAATCACATAATTAGCTTTACTGTACATCCCCTTTACTCCATTTCTGGCCCCCCCCATCTTTTCCTCCTTTACCACCCTCAGCCCCTCCCAAATCACAGAATCATCGAATCACGGAATGGTTTGGGTGGGAAGGGACCTTTAGAGCCCACCCAGCCCAACCCCCTGCAGTGAGCAGGGACAGCTTCAACCAGAGCAGGGTGCTCAGAGCCCCGTCCAACCTGGCCTGGGATGTTTCGAGGGATGGGGCATCTCCCACCTCTCTGGGCAACCTGTGCCACTGCCTCACCACCCTCGTCATGGTGAAATAAACAGCCCATCCCTGCTAACTCTCGACCATTGACTCTAGTTTTGCAGATCCCCTTTTTTTGGTATTTATATGGTTGCCTGAGTGATCCCCCCCTCAGTCTGCTAAGCATCTACTCCCTTTTTCTTAATTATCTGCAAAGTCCAGCCATTTGTCACACTGTTATCTCATGAGCGTAGCTGTATGGCCAGGGTTAACCATCTGCTTGGACTTTTCTTCCTCTCTGATGTCAGGAATTTCCAGCTGCTTCATATCTTACTGTCCTGCTGCTGTGGGATCACCCACTTCTCTGCATCCCACAGCACTAGATCTCCTAGGTCCAAGGGAACCAGCTCAGGTGGAGATGTCTGCACTGGAAAAACCCATGTCTGCTGTGGTGGACCCCAGTCCGGTGTCCTGATGTGAGTGGGGAGCAGCAAAAGAAGGGTCCCTCTGTGCTGCAGCAAGGGAGAGGTGGCTTTTGCTTCAAGGATCTAGCAAGGCCTGTTGCGACAGAACAAGGAATAATGGATTTAAACTGAAGAAGAATAGATTTAGACTGGATATAAGGAAGAAATTTTTTACACTGAGGGTGGTGAAGCACTGGCACAGGTTGCCCAGAGAGGTGGGAGATGCCCCATCCCTGGAAACATCCCAGGCCAGGTTGGACGGGGCTCTGAGCACCCTGCTCTGGTTGAAGCTGTCCCTGCTCACTGCAGGGGTTGGGCTGGGTGGGCTCTAAAGTCCCTTCCCACCCAAACCATTCTGCAATTCTATGATCTTAGAGGCTAAAACAGGAGAGGGAGTGAAGGGAGCTGCATTCCTTGGGAGCAGCTTGGCTTCGTGGGATGATGGGGAAGGGAAAGGGTCAGGCTCTTCAGGAACAGGGACAGATGAACAGGCTTCATGATTTATGGTGCAAGAGCAAGGGGGCACCTGATAAAATGGTGGGCAGCAAGCCCAGGAGAAGTTCAGCCCTTTCCCACGTGCCGCCTTTTCACCCAGCTGGAGGTCCTTGCTGCAGGACTTTGTGGAGGCAGAAACCGAAGCGGGTCCGAAAGGAGCTGGACAAATTCACGCAGGGGACATCCGTGGCTATTAAATGCCGTGACCTGATCACAGTCCCAGCAAATGAACTGGTCATAGGAGGGGGAAAAACCATGAAGAAACACAGAAGAGCGCAGTGCAAGCTCTTGGGGGGAAAGCAAGAGGTTGGGGGGCAGTTGCTGTCCCACTTCTAGGCTGTTGGTTTGCACCTGCGGAGATGCAACGGGCTGTTGCTCATTTCTGGTGCTTCCAGCTGAAATACCAGACGGGGAAGGAAGGGGCTGACACCAAGGCACTTGCTCCCTCTGGCCGTCTGCTGAGCCAAGAGGGGACAGACGTGGTTTGAACCGCAGCAGCTACATCTCCCCATCCAGGGCAACCACCACCCTTGGGTACCAGCAGCTCATTGGGTTCATTTCCCTGGTCCTTGGGGGACGTTGGCTCCCAATGCCTGGTTTGGGGCTGCTGGGACCACGTTGCACCCACTGCTTTGAGGTTTTTCATAGCTGCTCACCCACGCCTGTGCCCTTTCTTTCCCCCACTGCCATGGGGAGGACGTCACCCTCTCTTGGATTAAGCCGCTGAGGAAGGGGACTGTCACGGAGCCCAACACCCATGTGCCATGTTACTCCAATTAACATGAGCAGAAAGGAAAACAAATCCCCTCCCAACGGGCCGGCACCTGATTTATCAGCCGCTGCTCCGACACATTCCTGGCAGCCCCCGCCTCCCTCTCTCCCCATCCCTCCTCCCTCCTCGCTTTCTGTCCGCAGCAACGGGTCGTGGATAATTTAGGAGCCTTGTGCCCAGCTGGCTTTACCCTGGCCTCAAATGTCCTTGGATGAATCCACCATGCTCCTTGCTGGATTTGCACCAGCGGAGCCAGTCCTGGGCGATGCAGGGCTGCCTGCTTGGGGGTGCATTTGCCTCCCCCTAAGACCTTAGCTACCCCAGGCTCTGGCTTTTTGAGGCTGATTTGCTGGTGATGGCAGCTTGGGGAGGTCCCCAGGCTCGTCTCCAGCAGCCGACCATGCCAAGCAGCTCGCGTGGCTTGGAGAGGGCTTGGCCTTGCAGCGCAGAGGGGCTCTGGGTCTTAAATAACGGTGTCACCAGGAGGGAGGATGCCCGGGATCGTCCACCGCCCGCCTGGAGCCGCTTGCACAACTCGCTGGGTGGGATGTCCTGGCTCGCAGCAGGTCTGGCAGGGTGATTGCAGCGGTCCCATCTGGCCGTCAGATCTGTGCACGTCATGAAAGTCCTCATCCCAATGGTTTTGGAGTTTGTTTTTTTTTTTCCCTCTGCTGATGCAGCGAGCAGCCCAGCCCTGTGCAGGCAGGCAAGTGAAGCAAGGGTGCATCTGGGCTGGGGTTTTCTTTCTTGAGTGCAAACCTCAAACACTGTGGGGTGGGGACCAGCTTGGCACGGTGTCTGCAGTGCTGCTCGGCCCCTCCCAACCACCTCTCCCAGTACTCCTCCATCCTCCACTCCAGCTGTTCCCTGTGTCCCATCCCACCAGCTGTCCCTGGGGATGGGACCATCTCTGCTCATGGAGCTGCCTGGATGTAGCCGAGAGGAGATGTTCTGGTGGCTGATGGACCACAGGGCTCCCTACTGTGGGAATAGCTCCGAAGGATGAGTGCCAAAACTTAGGAGCCAGCAAACAGGTTCAGCCCAATGATCTGCGCATCCCCAAGTCCCATCTCTAACTGCAGGCATTAGGGTAAGGGAGTAAGGGACAACATGTGTCTTCCCTGGCTGTGTTCTCCCAGCCTCCAGCTCTTACGGAGCAGATGAGATTGTCTGTTTCCCATGGTCATCCTCCATGAAACTTAATTCCCTTCTTAGCCTGTCCATGCCCCAATGTCCTGTGGGATGTTTTTCTGAGATGGTAGAAAAGGTGAGATGATGAGATGAGATTGAGATGAGATGAGATGAGATGAGATGAGATGAGATGAGATGCGATGAGATGAGATGAGATGAGCTGAGATGATGAGATGAGATGGTGGCAGAGGACTGGGGGGGCTGCACTGTGGCAGCTGATTTTAAGGATGAAGGGCAGCTCCAGCCCCCATCCCACCGAGAGGTGCCCTGAGCAGGCAGCTCCCATGTCCCTTCCAGGGTTAACAGAACTGAGGTGGGGCCCTAGTATGGGTTATTTCCCAGTGTGCCCATAAAAACAGAGCAGATGGAAGTTGTCGGAGCTGCCCCCGCACAGAGGACCTCAGCCGAGCCGTGCTGGAGCCGGCGTGGGGGAAACAAGACATTCCGTGTCAGCAGCGGTTTTGCTCCAGTGCCATTGGTGTGGGACCCCTTCCCTTCGGAGAGGTTGCTTGGGGCAAAGTCAGGGTGACGAAATGGGAGCCCTTTCCTCGGTGGCTCCCACCGCAGAAGTTTCCAGGGTTGCTTTTAGTTTTTCTCGTGCTGGGAAAGCATCTGTTTTGTTTAAGCAAGTGGTTTTCAGCAGCCCAACCTTTGCTGTGCTGGGGTGCAGCAGGGGAGGGAAGAACTTGACCTGAACCCAGGAGCATGGCTGGGTCATGCAGAGTTTTCACAGCTCATCCTGGGACACTTGGGGCCTTCAGGCAGGAGATAGGCTGGTAGAAAAACCCCTTTGCCTTGACACTCTCGCTGCTACCCATCAAACTCACCACCACCTCTATAAAGCCATGGATCTCTGGCAGGCGCGGCTTTCTGTAATGCCCTGTAGGCTGAAATTAATGGTATCAACATATTTTAATTCTTTACTTCCACATTCTCCATTAGTTCTTTATTTCTGAAGGGTCTGGGTGATACCGGGCAGCCTTAACATACCCCCATTATTGCACTTTAACAAACTGGCGTGACTTGACCTCCCTCTTGCTCTTTTGGGGCACTGAAAATCATTGGCTGTACTTAACACTGTCTATTTATGCAGTCAGGTGCTTCCTATTGCTTGTTTATTTGCCCATCGATTCAGTTTTTCAAACCCCAGCAGGCAAGTAAGCGGATCTAAGGACATGTAGTTTTACAATGAGGGTGGTGAGGCAGTGGCACAGGTTGCCCAGAGAGGTGGGAGATGCCCCATCCCTGGCAACATCCCAGGCCAGGTTGGACGGGGCTCTGAGCACCCTGCTCTGGTTGAAGCTGTCCCTGCTTGTGGCAGGGGGTTGGACTGGATGGCCTTTGAAGGTCCCTTCTCACCCAAACCATTCTGTGATTCTATGATTTAACGGCTGTTGTGTAACGCCCTCCTTTAATGCTATGGGCATGAAAACTAGTTCCCCAGCCATCCCAGCACCTTCGTACAGCGCACACCTTGCCTGGCTCCCGCCCCACGTCCCCCTGTGCAGCAGCTCCTCAATGTCGCTGGACCTTCTGCATCGTGAAGAATCCTGCCTCTCCTACCCAGGGCCAGGCAGCGTCTCTGCTGTGCATGGTTCCTCTTGGTTCCCCCCCCAAAATGCCTCCTCATTGTGCTCAGCTCTCCCGGGTGTCCATTGTTCTTTGCACCCTTTTGTTTTGCCAACAGGAGACGTGTCCCCAGGGTCTCGGGTCCATCCCCATGTTCTCTCAGTGCCCAGAGATGTGCATCATCTAGGGAAGAGGAAACCCAGGGCAAGCTAATGCAGTATCTCCCCGTAGTGCTCTCCCAGCCCCTGACCATCTCCAGCTCGGCCATTTCCTGAGCTTGCTGCGGTTCATCTGCTCAGGAACCCGCTAATTTCTGCATAATATTTGCAGATCCTAATTACTCATTCATTAGGTTTGCTAAAAATCCCCTGTCTTCCTTTCCTGATCCTTTTGCATTACCACGTCGCCTGTAGCCCTGGCTGGTTGGTTGCTTTCCACACAACTGTGAGATGATGGCTTTTGGGGTTTCTAAGCAAACAGTGTTTAACAGTTTCCAATTATCACCCTGGCTTGGTAGGACAAAGACCAAATGACCCCTCCAGGCATCTCTCTGCCCTCTTTTCTATCATCCCATGAGTCATTTTTTTTCTGTTCACATTCTTTCTTCCAATTGACTTAGCTCATAATTGTTTTCAGCTTTGTGGACTTGGCCCTTTGCAGGCTGTGGAATATAACTCTATTACTGGGTTGGACTTTCTGCTTGCTCATGAGAGTTTACACTGAAAAGCAATCACCGATGGCTAGTTCCTGATGAGATCAGTGATGCAAATCCCTTCCTAAAGGTTCATCTCAATATTTCCAAAATGCTTTTTGGTTTTTTGTTTGTTTGGTTTTTTTTTTCTTAACATTATTTCATTGGAGATGTCATGACTTTGGGTCAAAAGGCAATTCCAGGAGGTTGGAATTTCCCATCAAGTCACACTCAAGTGGAAGCACAGGAGCTGCAAGGTGAAGTTTTCTGGCATGCGAGACAGGTTGAGGAGGTCCTGTTTGGCCTTTAAAATCCTCAGGTGATGGAGAAGGCTGCTGGCAAGCTCCCTCACTGTCACTTTGCTCCTGTCTGCAGGGGTCTGTGTTTATTAGAGGTCCCTGGACACCTGATAGGCAATAGCAGCCGGTGAAGGGTGGGTGGGTGCATGCAGTCATGCATCTGCTGCATGGCTGGAAAGCTGGGGCGCGATGGCTGCACTCCAATACCTGTTGTGTTTCAGGGCCGCCAGGACCCAAAGGAGACCAAGGCAATGAAGGGATGGAAGGTGAACCTGGTCTTCCCGGCCTGCCTGGGCTGCGAGGTAAGGAACGACATGCCCAGGGTGCCCGTAACCCTGCAAGCCTTCACCCAAAGTCCATAGAGTCAACGCGATGACTCCTGGTGACTTCCCAACCTGTCCCTTGGGACCTCGCTGGCTAAGCACAAGTCTTGAAGAACAACAGGATTGACCTGCTGCCCCATCTCCTGCCAGACTGCCAGTCTTTAGGGGCGAAAAGTCTCTCTCGTCTCCCAGCTGGCCCTGGGGCAGTGAGAGCTGCGAGGGTCCATCACCTGCAGGTTGATGCCCCTTTGACACAGCCACCCAGCTCAGGTTTGTGCAGGAGCTGGCCACCACCCTGTGCTCACAAAAACCAAACCCTTGCAAGGTGCCAGGGCTGGCCCCGCTGCCTGCACCCCCCCGGCAGCACACAGGGACCTGGCACGGGGCCCCTCCAGCCCGGCGGAGGGGACTCGGCCACTGCCTGCAGCTCTGAGGCTTTTCATAGGACACTTTTTTCAATGTCAAGAATGCCAATTTTTTTCGCCTTCTTAATTCCAACCATTGTTTCGAAATTCAATTAAACAAACAACAGAAGAGGACCCCCCCAACCCCAAGAAACAGGACTTGGCTTGAGCCTGTTTCTAATTTTAAGCCAAACTTAGAAATACTGGCTTTGCATCCAAGAGCCGGGGATGGCACGCGGGTGATGGAGGATCCCCTTTGGTGAGGATTTGCTGGCCCCAAGAGGCTCTTTCCTATTGAGGCGACAGGATCTGTCCTGCCTGGGGCGTCGACCTCCTTCTCCATCCCAGAAGACGTCCAGCCCTGGCTTCACCTTGGCTGCTGAAGACATGACCCACGTAGGACTACCAGTGTCAGAGTCAGGTTCAGCGCCCCGGCCCCGTGCATCTGAGCTACCGGTACTGGGCTGGGCTTAAAACCTCATATTTTGGTACCCTGTTTCCCCCCGCTCCCCGGCGGGCGGCAGGACCAGCCAAGTTAGGCAGAGCCAGCCTGGAAACCCAATCGCTCTCTGAAAGCCCTTCTCAGCGCTGGCTGCCTGTGCTTATTTCACCGACGGCTATATTTTTTTGCGTTGACAGATTCATGGCTGTTTTTCTTGGGTGTAACAAGCATCAGAAATATATCGTCTGGTTTCTTTCCTCTTTTCTTTTCTTTTTTTTTTTTTTTTTAAAAACAGAAAAACAAAACAATCTCTGGAGCGTCCACCTTTGGGAAGAGTTGCTGAAAGCGCTGCTATTTTTAGGTCTTTCTCTGTCTCGCTTTCTCTGGTGCTTTTCTGGATGTGGTCACAGCACCAGCCCTTTGGATATGAGGAGGTCAGGTTCAGGTGCAGCCAGGTGTTGTAAAGCATCCCCTTTTGCACAGCGAATCTACCATCCTGCCCCTGCCCCAGCTCCTCTACCCAAATAGGAAGCCGGGTCCTGACACGCTGCAGCATCCCCCCTGGGAGGGAGGCGAGGTGTTGGCCAGATGCAGCAGGGAAAGAATTAAGCCCCAGACCATGTCCACTGGAGCTGGTGCCCAAATTCCTCCTGGCAGCTTTTTTCCCCTCTTAAACCAGAGGAAAATACTGACTAAGTTTGGAAAAGCTCCGCCCAGGAGGGGCGGAAGGCGCAGTGCCAAGGGAATCCAGGGCTCCCTCTGCATGGACAGGGGAGACCAGCAGCATCGTGCCGGGCAGGCAGCTGAGCTCGGGTGCTGGAGGAGCTCTATCTGAAGAGCTTCTCCCCCAGGAGCTTCGGATCTGACCCAGACTCGGGCTCAGGCTGAGTCCGTGCTGGGTTGATCCGGTGGGAACACCCCCGGATCCCACCAGAGCCCATCACTGGCACAGGGGCCCCTCCCTCCACCTCCCCTTGCTGGCCCACATGGATGGAGGTCACCTCTGGGGCTTGGATGTGTCCCCTACAAAAGGAGCCCAAGCTCCCAGACTAAAGCCCGCATTTCCCACCTCCCAGAGGTCAGGGGGTGCTCAGATAAGGGGTTTTAATCCAACCCCTTCTCCAATAAATAGTAAACCCACCTGGTCAGCGTGCATGGATGGCAAGGGACCTGCGGCTCATGCTGGGCACCTCATATCTCCTTGGGGTCTCTGCTCCACCCCGGCTCCTGGCTCTTCCTCCTTGGTCTCCAGCTTTGGAGCTCAGTTACCTTAATCTGAGCCTTAAGATGCTCAGAGCTGCATTAGCACCAACCCATCTCTGGGTTAAATCTCTCCTGTATCCAGAGGCAGGTGAAGAAAGAGAAGATGGGCTGGACTCTCAGGCATCTCCTGATGGTCCCAGACTTCTGGCAAAGAACCAGAGACCACCTGGCGCGTCTGCTGGCAAGCAGGACACGTGTGCGTGCATATGTGTGTGTGCACGTCTGGTTTGTGTAGGTCTCTGCTGCAACAGTGTCATTTTGCCTCTTTATCCTCGCTCCAGGGCTACCCGGGGAGAGAGGACCACCAGGACCACGTGGCTTGAAAGGGGACCAAGGAGACCTTGGCCCTCCAGGTCCAGTGGGGATGCGGGGATTCAAAGGTAAGGACCAGCCTCTGCGCACGCTCCCGGGTGGGTCGTGGGGTCTGGTTGGGCTTGTTGGGCGTCAAACTGGCTCTGGAGACCACGGGCACGAGGAGCACTGGTCATGGGTGTGAGAGTGGTGGGTGCCCTGGCTTGGGACCCACCTGGAGCTCCTGGCGGGGAGAGGAGATCTTGCTGAGCTGGGAGCGTGCACATGAAAAACCTCTGCACCGAGACCTTTCCACCACGGCACAGCGGTGGAGAGAGTCCAGGGGTTGGACGGAGAAGGGCAAAACAGTTGGGTCTGCGATGCGCCCGCCACGCAGTGGGGCTCAGCGCAGGCAGGCAGCACTCACTGGAGCCCCGTGAGAACCTGCCAGGCTGCCCTCCCATGCTTGGCTCCAGCAGAGTTTTCGGAATAGCCTTGTGTTTGTTTTCTGGTGACCTTTTCTGGCTCGCTGTGGTTTTGCAGAGCCTCACCACACCCTGGCTAAGAGCAGGGAAAAGCTGTGGGTGTAGGAAGTGGCCACGCACCTATTTAGCAGGACAGATCTGTCCCAGGAGACCTTTTAAAAGAAATTCCATGCTGCAACCTCAAATAGGATGGATAATCCCAAAACGTGCTCTTTCTGCCTCAAAATGCCTTGCAGGCAAGGAGAGGCAGGAAGAGCCCAGCCCAAGGAAGCAGCACCTCCCTGGGCAGAGTCGAAGGGGGCCAAAGCAGTGCAGTCCCCTCATCTCATGCTTGTGGGTGATGTTGACATGGGACGTGGCCATGCTGGCCACCAGGACCTGGGGCCATGGCCACAGACCAGTGTCCCCATCTGGAAAATGCCCGGAGCCCTGCAGGCAGCGCTCCGGGCACGGGGGGTTGATGTGTGATTTATTTTACAAGCTCTTGCTTTCATGCAGTGAGCTCCTTGGGTGAATTGCATGTGTGAAAGCTGAAGGAAAACTTTCTCTTTAAGTGTCCTCTCTCTCCTCTGTCTGCAAACTTGGCATCAAGCTGGAGAGCTGGCCAGAATTGGTGTCCAGTTTTCCTGTACATCCTCCAAAGTGCTGGTCATCGCCAGGGGCAGGGGTTAGGGTGAGACCTCCGTGTCATGTCTGGTGGCCCATCCTTCATGTGCGGTAGCCACAGTGGTGGCCATCTCTTGTACCTTGCATGCCACCAGAAAGCCCCTTGTAGTCTAGGGGCAGGAGCACAGCTTCCATCTCTTCTCCATACCGCTTTGTGGTGTCTTTAGGAGAAGGACCTTTAGGTGAAACACTGGCACAGGTTGCCCAGAGAGGTGGGAGATGCCCCATCCCTGGCAACATCCCAGGCCAGGTTGGACGGGGCTCTGAGCACCCTGCTCTGGTTGAAGCTGTCCCTGCTCACTGCAGGGGTTGGGCTGGGTGGGCTCTAAAGGTCCCTTCCCACCCAAAGCATTCCATGATCCTATGATTCTATGACCTTTCCTAGGGACAGGCCATCTGCCTCCCAGTGCCAGTGCCTCCCGGTGCAGCCCCAGGAAGCTTTAGGTCCAGGTAGAAAGGAGGTGCAGGAGGTGAGATGCTGCACGTGGCCTCCTTCTGCAGCGAGGGAGCAGCATGAAGCTCCCAGAGCTGCAGCCCAAGGCAAGAAGGTCTGCAGGATTAGCGCCTG